TGCTGCTCTGACCATTTGCTGTTTCAAGGGCTGCTGCAGCACGCAAACCTGCAAGCTCCAGCAGCAGCAGCAGCAGCACAGCAGCAGCAGCAGCAGCAGCGTTTTTAAACAGCAAACAGTGTATTTGCTGCAGACGCTTTCATGCTGCGCCCCGGCGGCTTCAGATTGAGAAACAAAAGAATAAAATAAAAAAGGAAAATTAAAAATGAAATATTTAAAAATATTGGAATTAATTATATTAATAATATTTAAATTAGAAGTTGAAAGAAAATGTTTTTTCAATTTGAAGATTTATTCGAAACTTCTGCAACACCAGGTGGACGTACACCCGAAGGCCTTAGAAGTTCAAATCAAAATTCAATTTTTGAATTATTTTATTTGTTTAATTCAGCAACTTTTAAATATTATTTAAAGAAGAATAAACATTTATAAAATGCTTTTCTTTTAATTTAATTAAATTTATTTTATTTATTTCGAATTTAAGACAAACAAAGAAAAACAAAATTTGAAAGAAAAGGACAAGGTGTTGAATTCGTTGAATTAAATTGAATTGGTTTATTTGGAGTTAAGTCAGATTAAATTAAATTAAATTAAATTGAATGAAATTGAATTAAATTGAATTAAATTAAATTAAATTAGATTAAATTAAATTTAATTTAAATTAAATTAAATGAAAATGCAAATGCTTTGTTTTAGGTTGCATGCAATTTAAAGCTGCAAGAGAGGAAATAATAGACCCTTTAGGGGAATTTGCCTCATTTGATATTTCCTTGGGGATTTTATTTCATTAAAGTAATTTAAAATGAAGATAAAATCAAACAAGTTCTCCTTTCACGTCTGCTGCTGCTGCTGCTGCTGCTGCTGCTCCTGCTGCTGTTGCTGCTGCTGCAGACACAGCCCCCAGGCAGTTGTGGCGTGGGGTTTTGTGTTTGGGGCCTTCAAAAGGTTGGAACTTGGTTTACATTTTCTTTTAAAGTTTTATTTTTTATTTTATTTTTATTTTTTATTTTCTTTTTGCTTTCCGCTTTCTTCGCTTAGCATGGGTCGGCTCTTCAAGGAGTGGCTGAGCTGTCACAAGGTGTACATGTGCGCTCCCGCCGCGGCTTTCGGGGATTTGGGGGTCCCAGAGGCAAATGAGTGCATTTTTGAGCTCCAAATTCAAAATCTAATTCATTTAATTCCTCAAAAATTCCTTTTTTTGTTGTTTTGCGCCTCAGATGTCGGCAGTGCCACTCCCACCTCGCGGCGCGCAGCCAGCTCGCCTCGCGCCAGTTCCGCGGCCGCACCGGACCCGCCTGGCTCTTTAACCGGTACTTTCCGCGCGTTTTTCGAGTTTTTTGCATTCAAACAATTCTTTTTGCAATTTAAAATGCATTTAAGTCGAAAAAGCGGCTCAAACAAGCCCGGTTTTGTCCTTTTCCGCAGAGCCAGCAACGTGTCCGAAGGCCAGTGCGAAGACCGCGTCATGACCACTGGTCCGTGGGCTCTTTTTTCCGGTTTTCTGTCTTTTTGCAGCTCTTTTGTTGCTTTTAAAAGTACCATTTGAAGCATTTTACAACCTCTTTCTTTAGAGGGGCCTCTGGGGCCTCTTTTGCTGCTTTAATTCGCCTTTTTCCGCTTTGCTGCTGCAGGAAAACACACCATCGTCGATATTTACTGCAACGACTGCGGCACCAACGTGGGCTGGCGCTACCGCTTTGCTGTTCAAGACTCTCAGAAGTACAAAGAGGGAAAATACATTTTAGAAAAGGTCAGCACCTCCCAAACAGGACCCAAGGGGCCCCCTGGGGGGGCCCCTTGAGGGCCCCCTGGGGCTTTTGGAGCCCCGGGGGCCCCCTGGGGCCCCCAGGAGTGCTTGAGGGGCCCCTGGAGACTCCCGGGGGCCCCAGGGGCCGCTCTGGGGGCCCCCGCTGAGGGCCAGAGGGCCCCCAGCGGCGTCTGGAGGACTTAGGGGCCCCCTGAGGGGTTTCAGGGGCCCCCAGGGGCCCCTGGGGGCCCCCAAGAGTGCGAAGGGGCCCCTGGGGGCCCCCTGAGGACCTCGGAGCCCCCTGAAGGTCCCTCGTTGCTGCTGCAGCAAGGGCTCTGGGGTGTACGTACAGCTGAGGAGCTGCGGTCTGGTTCTTTGCGTGGCATTTGCAGAATTGGAGTTTAATTCTTTAATTTTGAATTTAATTAAATTTGAATTTAATTTAAATTTGAATTTAATTTAAATTGATTTAATTTTGCTTATTTTTATCCCCAGGCCCTCCTCTTAGCCGAAATCCAGGCCCCCAACGGCGCCCTCCGCCGCGGCAGCATGGAGGCTTCGGATGCCGAGGCGGACTAGTGTTTGTCTTTGAACAAATAAATAAATAAACAAATAAATAATAAAGAAAATAAATAAATAAATAAATAAATAAATACAAATAAGTAAATGAATAAGCGCTGAAAGAAGCAGACGGGGGTGTACGGTTCTCGCTGCTGACGGACAGGCTTCCTCAACAGCTGCAGCAGCAGCAGC